TTATCAAATTTTCTTATAATTTTAATTTTAAATATTATTTAATATGTAATATATAATATTTAAAAAAAAGTATAACAATTATAAATATTTATTTTGTACAACATCTAAAAATGTTAATATTTGACTATTTTAAGATATTATATATATATATATATATATATATATATATAAATATTCAAATAATTTATTATAAGATTAATAATTATAATATTATATAATAATATCAATTTTGTGTAATATCAATTTAATGTCAGATTGAATTTTAGATTGAATACAGCAAAGAACAAGAATGCATTATAGAAGCAGATGATCCAGAAGGTGGTTGGGTTGATACACATCATTATGACACGAGTCTTAGTGGAATTGAAGAAAGAGTAACTGAAATGACATTAGACGAAACACAACTTTCTCAATCAATTGGTACAGAGGAAAATAATGGAGAGGAAAATGATGATGATGATGATAATGATGATGATGATGATGATGAAGATGCTGCAGATATGGAAGCTTTTGAAGTCAGTGGAATGCTAGATGAAGAAGATAAGGTATTTATATATTTTAATGAATATATTTATAATGTATTATATAGTAATTATAATGAATATAATTATTCAATATCAATATAGTTATTTTGATTTTGATATTAAATTTTAAAAATATTTTAATTTTATATATAAACTTAAAATTTTAAATTAAATAGTATGCAGCAAAAATTACAAAAAAACCAATCAAAGATAAATGGGAATCATTTTCTGAAGGAGAAATTATTCACACACGTACATACGATTTATATATTACATATGATAAATATTATCAGACACCTCGATTATGGCTTTCAGGATATGATGAGGTTTGTATTCTATTTTTTCTATTATTTTTGTATTCTATTATTTCTATTAACAATAATGAGTTTATTAAAAATATTATTTATAAAATATGAAAGAAAATTTTAACTTAATATAATTTTTTTATAAGAATCGTAAGCCTTTGACAGTAGAAGAGATGTATGAGGATGTTAGTCAGGATCATGCTAAAAAAACTGTTACAATGGAGATACATCCTCATATACCTGGACCATTAATGGCTTCAGTTCATCCATGCAGGTAATTTTAACTGAAATTAATTAAAACAAATTTATATTTTTGTATAATTAATAATATTAAATAATAAATTAATATAAAATTCTTAAAAATTTTATAAAATAAAATTGCAGACATGCTGAAGTAATGAAGAAAATTATTGAAACTGTAATGGAAGGTGGTCGTGAACTTGGAGTACATATGTATCTTATAATATTTCTTAAATTTGTGCAATCTGTAATTCCTACAATTGAATATGATTATACACAAAATTTTATGCTAAATGCTTCTGGTTAAAAATTTTGTGAACTTTCATTGTATTTTAAGGATGAACGTGATTTTAGTTTATAAGCTCATAATAAGTAATAGTATTAAAAGGATTGTGTGAAATATATAATAAGTATAATAATAAGTATATTTCAGTTCAGAAAATTATGTCTATACATGTATAAAATATTTAAATATAAAATCAAATTTGACTGATTTTATGTATTACATTTCAAATCTTTATTTTTCATTTTATTATTACATTAATAATTAAAAATAATAAAAATTTTATTTTTGATATTAAAAGTCAAAAATTATTTTAAATTATTAATATTAAATTATATATATATAAAATAGTTTTAAATTATATTTCAAGATAAAATTATAATTATTTTATAAAATAATATAATATATAAAATATATATATTAAGGAAGAATAAAAAGAATTTCGAAGTAAATTTGAATTTTATTAAAATCATTTTTTATTTTTTGAATTTGACACAATATCTATGGTATTGTGTAATATCCAATTGCTTTGATATGTTGCTATTAGGATTATAAATCTACTATTAGGAATTATTATATAAGGAATTATTATTTAATAATTATTAATATAAATGAATGTAATAACAATAAAAAATTTTAATTTAACAAATTTAAGAGAATTTCTAGAAATAAAGTTCCCAATTATTTTTTTTTATTTTTGCATATTAATTTTTCATTATTTGCATAACTAGTATTTATAATATAATAAAATTTATTCGAATAAAATCATTATTTATAATATTAATTAGAAAATTATGAAATAAAGTTTTAGCAAAAATAATTATATTTTTTTTATATATAAAAAATTTATAACTAAAATAATCTATTCCACTTATGTTATTAATTATATGAAAAACAAGCGATTCATCAAATTTTTCTTTTGCTATATAACAATGTTAATTAAATTAATATATTTGTATAATAAATAGTTTAAAATTTTGTATAAATAATTGTGTAATAAATATATAATAAATATTTTAAAATTTTTACGTCAGAGTTCGTTGTTTTTGTTCGATTTTAAAATGGCGGTACTTGTACATTTTATATTTAAATGTCATTTACAATACAAATTGGATATTTGTAAGTAAAAATTTTTTTCAAGATTTTTTTTATATATTTTATAATTTATTGATTTTATATTTAGACTGATGTTACATTTAATGTTATTGATTATATTATTTTTACAATTTCATTTTTTCTAGGTTAAGAAGAATTTTTGGTAAAACTTCTATCTTGTAATTTAAAAGAATATTTTAAAGAAAATGTCGACTTTGTATGATCAGATAAAACTACTTTATGAACAATCTTTATATTCAAATGTTATTTCACTTGTAAGTGAATAAATTAAATGATTTAAAATATTTTTTTTCTTGAAATGGAATAAAAATTTTTTAAATACAGTAGATCTCCATTTATCAGAACAAAATTTTCATCAATGCCTAATTAATGAACTTTAGTCAAGTTTTTTTATTTGAATTAGTGGTGGTTATCATTTTAATTAGAAAAATGTTTATTATAAAAGTAAATATATAATTTAGATTATTATTAGATATATTAATATATTACATAATTTGAAAAATGAGTTAGATATTAAATACTTATTTGATTAAATATCTGAATATCTAAAATTTAAAAAAAAATTAAATATTGTAAAAAAAATTGTTGAATTATTATTATGTGAATTTTTAAAAATTGCTTGTTTTTCATTAAGATCATATAGATGGAGTTTTATTGTAGTACTTGTAATAATTATAAAAATAATAATTAATGAATATTTTATAATTTATATTAATATTTGATTCATATAATTGAAAAAAATAATAAAATTTAATAAATAATTATCTTATATTTTAGGCAAATTTAATATTATCATTAAGTGAACATAATTCAGATTTATTGCCAATATATGGCAAATTCCATATTTATGTTTATTATGCAGATGCTCACTTTTACTTAGGAAAATATAAAAAAGCAGAAGCACTCTATAAAAAAGCTTTGCAATTTCGTAAATGTTTATTAAAATCTAAAGGTGCTACAAAACCTTTAGAAGGTCAAAAAGATTTACCAACTGATGTTGATATAAAATTTCAAATTCATTTATGCTTAATAAAATTAAAAAATTCTCAAGAAGCACTTCAAGTACTACAAAGTATTCCTGGTAAACAAAGAACTCCAAAGGTAATTTATGAAAATATATTTTAATCTTAATGTTAATAAAATATTGACATTGTTTGTTAATGAAATTTAATTTTTAAGGTAAATATGGCTCTTGCAAAAATGTTTCAAGAACAAGGAATGGAACGTTCTGCAATTACTACTTATAAGGAAGTTTTAAGAGAATGTCCATTAGCTTTAGAAGCTGCAGAAGGTCTTTTATCCCTTGGAGTAAAAGGGATTGAAGTAAATTCACTAATAGTAGGTTGTGCATCCAATCTATCAAATTTAGATTGGTTGAATACATGGATTAAAGCTCATGCACATATACATAATAGAGAATATACACATGCAGTATCAACATTAAGATCTCTGGATAATGTTAATCTTCTAAGAGATAATTTTAATTTATTAACAACAATGGGAGAGTGCTATTATTATGCTGGAGATGATAAAAATGCTTTATTATGCTTACGAAGAGCCAGAATTATAGAACCAGATGTTATGAAAGGGTAAAATGTTTAAAAATATGTAATGCATTATATAATAGCATTGTAATTTATAATGTTAGAAAATTAAGATAATTATTAGCTCTAAAGATTTTTTTTTTAATTATTACATTTCTCAAATCTTTTTTTTTTCGTAATAGAGTTGATGTTTATGCTGCAGTATTGTACAAAACACACAGTATTAAGGAACTTGAAAGACTGATTCCAATAATAACAGCAAGCAATGAGTGTACTGGAGAAATATATGTTGCCATGGCATATTCTCTTTATGCTTCTAGAAAGCTTGGTAGAGCAAACACATTGACAGCACAAGCTTTAAATTTAAATCCAAATGATATAGAAGCAACAATTCTTCGAGGAAACATTCTGATAGAACAAAAAAAATATCAAGGTGCATTGTTCTTCTTTAGGCATGCTGTCCAATTAAAACCATACCGTTATGAACCACATAAGGGTTTGGTAGATTGTCTTGTAGGAATGCATAGATTGCGAGAAGCTCTCAATATTGCTAGTGGATCTTGTAAACAACTTGGACATACTGCAAGAGTTCTCACGGTAGTTATACAAATTAAATTTTTATAAATTTATGAATTATATAATTAAATATATAATTTTGAAAGATAATTTATAAATTACAAATTGAAAATAACTTTGTGTAGCTTTATGCATCTGTACTCATGAAAGATCCAGTTTCTGTTGGAAAAGCAAAAAATCTTTTGGAAAAAGCATTGCTTCAAGATGAAATTTATTTACCTGCTGTATATTTATTAGCTGAAATATATGAACAAGAAATGAATTTGGAAGCTGCAATTGCATTACTTGAAAGACAAGTAGAAATACAAACAGCATGTAAATTACATCAGATGCTTGGAGATCTATGGGCAAGAGTTCATAATGAAGAAAAAGCTTTGGATCATTATGCAATTGCTTTAAAGTAAGATTTTTTATAACATTTTTGTATATTTATATATATACATAATTACTTAAATTTATCAGAAATAATGTATAATATAAAATTTAATACATATTTTGAAAATCATATAAATTGATATAATATTTCAAATTAGTCTAGATCCAAGCAATAGGAGAGCATTGGAAGGCATGCACAGATTAGATAACTCTTCGAATAAACTAGATTCAACTTATTATATGACTGTGGGTGAAGAACAAACAGATACAACCTATGATGTTGGTGATGGTTTGCCAGATACTGATAATGATGAAGCACCTGATGAAAGTGAAACTGAAGCTGTATGGTCGGATATGGATCTCGAAGCAAATAGTCAATAACAAAAAAAAATTGTTATTATATTAAATAAGTTCAATATAATTAAGAACTGTAATTAGTTTTTCTTATGTATATTGAAGTTTTGTTGCTTTTATTTATCTGTAAATGTCCGCATTTTTGAAAATCTGATATTTTTTCAATAATTAGAAATACGAAAAAATATTATTTTCATTATTAGAATTTTATATATAAAAAATATTCAAAATTTTGTCTTCATTGACTATTATTAGTGTTTTTATAACTAATATTTATATGAATATGTATCATTCATATGAAAAAATTTTATATTAAAAATATTATAGTATTAATTCGTTTATTACAATTGGTTTTATCATTATTTTTTATTTATATATACAATAATATAATATATATTATTATATTATATTATAATATTTCATAAAAATTTATTATTTTAACAAATAATATTTTAAGAGGATATAAGGCAAAAATCAAATAAATTTTTTCAGAAAGTTCTAAAAAGTATTAAAATAACGCACAAATAATTATATCGAAATTTTTTTAATTATAATTATATTAAAATACATTTAACATGTTAGTTATAAGCTATTAATACAAGTGATGAATATAATTGTTTATGATCTGTTCCATTTTAACATTAATAAAATTAGTAATAAATAAATTATAAAATGTATAACAGATTTAAATATAGATAGATATAAGTATCTGAATGAAACTTGTAATGAAAATATATATGTATTTTAATTTTTAAGATTTAAAAAATTGATTACTTTAGTGATAATGAACTATTATTCTGAAAACTATAAAAAATTTATTATACTTTAATCATATTAAAAACAATGTTAAGTAAAAAATGTAAATTGTGAGATATTCAATAAGCGATAAAAAGAACTGAAATTAAGCTAAAATTGAAATGATTGCTTGACTTGCAAAATAAATTGAAAATAAAAGTTTAATGTATAAGTAAAAGCAATAAGCTAATAAAATTAATAATATAAATAATAATAAATTATATTATTGAATATAATAATAATAATATTGAATATAATATTAAAAAAAATTATATCAAATTATATAATTATATATATAATAATTATAGAAATTTTTTTAAATATTTAGCTTCATTTTTTCACATATAATATAAATATTTCAATTTTGTTCCATAATCCAAAAACTATAAATATAAATTATAAAAAGAAATCTTTTTTTACTATTTTATTATATATATCATATATAATATTATATATATCATA